TTTGAAATTTTTCTGTGTACTGATGATCTTTTGGACTTTTCAGAAAAGCTCAGCTTCCCCTTCAAAGGCTTTGGCATTACCAACTCCTGCTCCATCATCCTCTGTTGAGGCTACTTCATCCAAACCGGTTGATGATGGGACATCTTCAGTCCCAGATTCTTCATCACAACCCATGAATGAGCCACCTTCCTCCCAAGGCATCGACCCCCCAATCATCGAAGCAGAAGGTAATTCAGTTTTTGATGTCTTACCTTTGCTCGTGCTATTGGTTTCTGACTGGTTGCTCTTTGAACTTTGCAGATACTCCCATGAGTCCGCCCGTTGTGGCAACATCTTCTCGCTCGGACAAGGGGAAGTCCTCACGAATGGGTGAGTCGTTGGTGGCCAGCTTGGCTGAGGGTGCGCCATCTTCTACGATTGTCGACGAGGTAGTTTTTCTTTTTGCTCCATTCCTATTTCCAACTTGTTCGTTGTAGCGAATATTTTTAACGTTGGCAATCTTCTTTCCAGGATGCTGACCGGATTGTGCGTTCTATCCAGGATTTTTTCGCTTCCTGGGGGCAGGTCCAAATGCCTCGCCCTGCTCCATCTGATCTTCCTGCTGCTTCTTCAGAAGAGGACTTGAAGTTCTTGAAGGAGTTGGTATTTGAGTACGTGTCCTTCATGGACATGGACATTGGAAGGGCTAGTACTGCCAGACACAAGGATGAACTTGAGCGCTTGAGTGCGAAGTTAGAGCAAGCACTGACGCTTCCGTCGCTCAATCTTTCTGCCGACTTTAAAGCGACGTTGAAGGTCATTCACTCCGAGGTCCTTACTATGCTGGCCAAGAACGCTGAACTAAAGGTTAAGCGTACTCAATATCTTCGAGCCGTAGCTGAGAAAGAGTCTTTGCGCTTGGAGATCAACAAGGCTAAGGACAAGTTGAAAGAAATCTCTTCCGAAGTCATGATTGAAGACTCCTTGATGGTTAACTTGGCTACTCAGATGAGGGAACTTCAAGCCAAAATGGACGATTGCA